ATCCCGGACGAGCCCCCAATTGATAAGGACTGAACGCCGTTAGTAAATGAATTTAGCCGATTATCAGGCACATAACTGTATTTATTGAATCAATGGTTATATAAAACTAATACAATATGAGTTTAACCCAAACTCGAGCTCTAGTGAACCCAAGTGTGGACCAAACGGTGTATAGTCTAAGGGTAAGTATAACATAAGAGAGTGCATGCGATTGTGTTAAGAATTTTTATACAACTGTCCAGAACTTAAGTCCGGCCTTTGGGAGGTGACCTATTGGTCAGTATAGCTAATCTTTTACATCATATCATTACCTCGGTCTAATGAAACTCTGTCCCAGAGTTGTAACAAAAGTTTTAAACAATTATAAAGTTTGTGGTATTAATGGACGTATTGTGTGTATGAATGCATGCAATGTGATTATCACGTGATCTGTATTTGAGTTTTTCGCACTAAATATATCACACGTGTTGTGTTGTTTGTGGCAAACGTTTATTTTGTGTTTTGCTTTCAATTCAATACAATTCTAATAAAAGTAATAATAATAATAATAATAATAATCATATATTGTGGACACAATATGCCACCGAAGAAGTTAACCACAAAGAGGTCGAAGGATTCCAAACCAAAGCCATGGGAAGTGACAGAGAAGTGTATGTATTATATAAATGTTATTATTTTTGTCATTAATTAATATATAAAACTATTTTTGTCTTATATTAAGGGATGTCTGAAATGGCGGATAATGAATGGCTGGTAGACAACACTGCTGATGCACAGGATGCTGAGGAGTGGCTACCGTATTGTGATATGAATGATCACGAGGCCGACGTAGACCCTGGACCTCAATCGGGAACCAAAGATGTGTTTTACGTGGACGCCGTCTATGGCTGCGAAGTGATGTTTGATAAGGAGAAACCTTATCTTGGGTTTTACGTCCAGTGGTCGGGCTATCCGGCGGATGAGAGCACTATTGAGCCGATACAACACTTGATGAACACTAGAGAAGTGTTGCAATGTGTGGCCATGTGTGACCTCTCACGAGATCTTTCACGAGATCTTTCACGAGATCTTTCACGAGATCTTTCACGAGATCTTTCACGAGATCTTTCACGAGATCTTTCACGAGATCTGTGATCTGGTTTATCTTTATCAGAGACTTTGTCGAGAAATTTATTGAAAGTATCGCAAAGCTTATGAATTGCTGTTTCATTTTTAGCTAAGCGTTCATTTAATTGACTGCTGACCTCTTCTGAAGACACATCTCTTAAACCGTCTTCAATGTTCTTAGCATTCACTATCAGAGTATCTATATTAGGGTTGTTCATTGGCTTTAATGCTGCCTTAATTTGGGGTGACATTCCCTTAATTATGTACTCTTTGAGGTCATCATATGTCATATTATCGTCAAACTCTTCGCATAGCATTGCTGTTTCATTTTTAGCTAAGCGTTCATTTAATTGACTGCTGACCTCTTCTGAAGACACATCTCTCAAACCGTCTTCAATGTTCTTAGCATTCAATATCAGAGTATCTATATTAGGGTTGTTCATTGGCTTTAATGCTGCCTTAATTTGGGGTGACATTCCCTTAATTATGTACTCTTTGAGGTCATCATATGTCATATTATCGTCAAACTCTTCGCATAGCAATTGCTTATGAGTGATGTATTTTACAACATCTTCATTAGGTCTTTGCTTGTGATTTTCCATCTCTTCCCGAACGCACTGCCGATTGTCTTTCGGGAGATGGTACTGTTTGAAAAGGTCTTTGAGTGGAGTCCAACTAGTTATCGCTGGGTTCAATTTCTGTATATATAGTTTATACCAATTTTTGGCATCTTTTTCTAAAGAACCGCCAAATCGCTCGACTCTGTTGGTGTCATTCCATCCCTTGAGACGGGTCTGTTCCTCATAATCATCGATCCAGTCGACACATCTACGGCTTATCTCACCATTATATTTCTCAAGCCTTATGTTACCGATCTGACTCGATATTATATCGCTAACTTCCCGACGCACGTCGGCGGCAGTTAGGTTATGCTGTTGGGCCATAGCCCACGCAAAGGCTGGCGAGCCTTAGCGCGATAGTCTACACTTATTGAGTAGTGCAAGCGATTTGAAGGACAACTCAACAATTTAATTGACTTAAACTATTTGTTGATTATAATGAGTTGTAATTTGTTTTTAATAAGGGCTCGTAAGTAAATTGACAGACCGTTTGTTGATTCAATAAAAATAGTTATGTGCCTGATAATCGGCTAAATTCATTTACTAACGGCGTTCAGTCCTTATCAATTGGGGGCTCGTCCGGGATAGGAAAGTGTCTTGAGTCGGTAATGTATAAGCACCGGTATAGTATGTCGTCCACTGTATTAGCCTTTAGCCTCTGAGAACGGATTGGTCAGCACTTTTGATCGGCTTTTCCAACCGTTGGACCGATCATACTGAAGCGATCGGACACTACTACGCCGTCATAGGATCGGCTTCCATCGTTTGGTGTCTACCACAGCAGGTCAGGGCAACCGATCGTTGGACTGGACCGACCCGATGCTGGTGTCAAGCTTGCCTTTATACGGCCCTTCAATAGCGCTTTGGTTGGAAAAGTACGCGAAGCTTTCTGCCCTCTACCGCCGTTGGATTCTGGAGAGCAGTGGCCGATGCTACCCGTGGTTTGTCACTACTGGTCAGCCTTCCTATCCTGACACCCAATGAAGGTTCTGTTCGCCGTTACTTCTCTACATTTTTATTGAATCAACAAACGGTCTGTCAATTTACTTACGAGCCCTTATTAAAAACAAATTACAACTCATTATAATCAACAAATAGTTTAAGTCAATTAAATTGTTGAGTTGTCCTTCAAATCGCTTGCACTACTCAATAAGTGTAGACTATCGCGCTAAGGTACGCCAGCCTTCGCGTTGGCTATGACCCATCAGCATAATTTAACTGCCGCCGACGTGCGTCGGGAAGTTAGCGATATAATATCGAGTCAGATCGGTAACATAAGGCTTNTCAACACAACTGCCTCTATGGTTGGGGTTATAATGATTGTGGACAGTTAGGTTTGGAACTCCCGAATATGGATTTCCCATTTATAAAACCAGAACTTATTAATCCCGAAAACATGGAAAATAAGTCAATCTATCAAATAAGTTGTGGTTATTATCACACAATGATTCTCACGAGTGATCGCTGTGTCTATGGATGGGGTTATAATATGTACGGACAGTTAGGTTGTGGACCAGACTATGGTATACGAAAAGGGGTCACATTTCGAGTGAATTTCAATCCCAATCACGAAATTAAAAGCATTTATTGTTGTGAATACTCTTCATTTGCCATCACATCGGAGGGACAGGTATTTAGTTGTGGTCGAAATGATTGGTATGATTTGGGACACAATTCAGCGAATATAATATGGCAACCACAACTCATTGCAGACATGACTGGTATTAAGACTATCTGTACCGGTGATGATTTCACTTACTTCTTATCAAACGATGGATTCATTCATTTTTGCGGTCGATATAGCAATGAAAACAACGACTATTTGATACAAATATCACCAAAAGTATTCAATACTGATAAGAGGTTTACAGAAATGTATAAAATTGAATCAAATAACCTGTGTCTGTTTAGAGCTATAATGAATGGCAAAATATATTATATTACAGACATACCAAACAATATAATTGAAACAAATTATACAAAATTCTTCGACTGTTTCTCAAATGAATTCCTAATGACTTATAAAACCATTGATTTGTGTGATTATAAGGAATATAATTACAACAATTGCAAAGAATTTAGTGCAAAATGTTTGAAATATTTGAAAAAAGTATTTTCTTTTATAAAAGACTCATCAAAAAATGGTATGAATTGGTTGTATGGGTCATTCACAAAGTACGTACAGTCAGCCAGTCATTAACATTCACGATTAACACATTAGTTGAACAAAAATATGCAAATCTCATTGAAATTAGTTACGAAATTAATAAAGTTAACTTGTACATTTTACAATATTCTCT